GGCCGAGTCTGCACACACCAGGCCCGGAGCTGCCACGGCAGGAAGCAGTTCCCACGAGCATACCCTCTACCCCAGCCCGGCAGAGGCAGAGTTCGGCCCCGCAGCAGTCCATCTGGTCAGCCTGGTGGAGCAGCTCACTGGAGCAATCCTGCTGGACCGAGAGGGATGCAGACAGATAGAGGACTACAGGGAGTAGAGAGCGTGAGAGCCAACCAGACACAAAGAAGCAAACAAGCACGAGAGGGGAGACTGGAAGACAGCAGGCAGCCAGGCCCGGCATCTCATGAGCTAGTTCAGCCCTCATGGCAATCCCAGTGGAATAGTCCAAGCCAGCACAAGTGAGCCAAACCCTGAGCTCATTTTAATGGCTCCTGTCCCAAACCTGAGTCACTGGGGATTCCACGGACTTCTGAGAGAGCCCTTGCATTTCCAACAACAAACTGCTTGATGCTGTCATGGAAAACCTGGATCTTTGCATTCTACGGTTTCACTATGGATTACATCCAGGTCACAACCTAAGGAAGACAGCTGGCAAAAGCACCCTGTTGGCCGATTACCCAGCTTTTGTAATGAATCCCAGAGGGCTATGAGCTGATGTGTGTTTCTGGCTCTGCCAAGTCCCGGACAAGTCCTTCCCAATGAAGACCAATCGGCCTGTGATTTATTCTGCAGGGGAGCCTGAGGAGCCACCTGCCATCAAGACTCAGCCCTGCCTCCAGAAGGGAAAGGAATGGAGAATGTATTTGTCAGGGGGAAGAGGAGCAAAAGTTCTTTTTTTCCTTGTCAATTCAACTGCTATCTTCTGCTTTAAAAAACAAAAAACTCTGAGGACACCTGCAGTCACACCAGAGTCACAACAGGACTGCTCTATACTCTTCAGCCCTAACACAGACAGGTTTTTAAGGGGCAGGGAACAGCGCTAGACAGTGTAGCCATGGCCAATTTCAACAGAATAGAGTCAATTCTTAAGATTAGAAAAGCCACCCCTATTCCTTAGAATGCAGCAATTCTAGGAAACATAAAAAAATGTACTAAAACCTGCCAAGAAAATAGAAATGTTTTAATTATATATATAGCTACTGCCACTTATTATTTACTGTGTGCCAAGCCCTGTGTTGAAGCCTTTCTCATATATTGTAATTTAATCCTCAAAACAATCCTGAGGTATGTATGACTTTTACACTCATTTTACAAGTGAGAAAACTGAGGCTTAGAGAAGTGAGTTCAATTCATCAACATTTCACAGCCACCTTCAGCCGGGGTCAGGCCATAATCCAGGGCCAGGGGAGGCTTGGATTTTTAAATTCTACTTAGAATGAGTGTGGGGCACCAAGCACATTTATGCACAAGGATTTCGGGAGTGTCAGCTGGGCGCCCACCTAACGGGCCTTGAAGGCAAATCCTGCTATCTGGGTTAACTTAACAGTCAAAAGTTGTATTTTATTATTTTTTAAGTAACCCAGATCTTGAGATTTCTACTGAAGTAGCAGATTCTTTCACACCCAGCTTCTAAAATCAAAATGTCAATATTTTGATGATTTATTTGTATACACAATAAAGGGCACCTGTGGCCTATTTATTCTTTAAAATTAGGTGTAGTAACGGTATGTGCTTACAATATCTTGCAATTTTTCATCCAGTTGCATTTTACGACACTGCCATTTTTGCCAAAATGAAAGTTGTAAAAATGAACAGTCTGAATGTATTTCCAAAGAATATCCTTTTGTTGCTCTGGCAACAGCTTCCTTTCTCACCATTTGTTTCAGGGTCGGGTAGATCCAGGCAGGACTGAGAGAAAGGGGGCAAGGGGAGAGAAAGACCGATGCTCACAGCTGCAGCAAGTTCTTGGCTGAGGCTGGAGTTGACCAGATGCTGTTACAGATTGGCCAAGGGGAGAAGGCAAGTCAGCTGCTCCAGACACACACACTTTCTCAGCCATAGATTCGAGGACCATGGCCGTAATTTATCTTGGCTTGAACTGCCTGGTGTAGAACCCCATGAGGGGAGAAGACCCCATTCGGCATCCCTTACAGACAGAGGCCACCCCCACCCCACTCCCCACCAACACGAGAAAGTCAGCTGACTTGTGCTTAGTCCTTCTTTCCCATGATTTTTTTTTTTTTAGGTTTTATTTATATATTTTCAGAGAGAGAAGGGAAGGGAGGGAGAAAGAGAGGGAGAGAAACATAAATGTGTGAAAGAAACTGATTGGTTGCCTCTTGTTTGCCCCCAAATGGGGACCTGGACTACAACCCAGGCACATGCCCTGACAAGGAGTTGAACCGGCAACCTTTCAGTTTGCAGGGTGGCACTCAATCCACTGAGTCACACCAGCCAGGGCTCCCATGGTTTCTTCTCAGAAGGATGCTGCACAGTTGAAAGGACAAAAGCAACAGCTTCTCCTGCACTTCAGCGGTTAGCCTCAGATCAGAGGGCCCTCCAGAGATAGCCTGACTACACGGGAATCTCTGTCTCCTCCCAACTTAAAATTTTGAGTAATTTCAGATTTTTTAATATGCTGTGTGTATGTGGGGAGAAAGTTAAGATTTCTTTTAGAAAATCTAAACTTTGGAAGAGACGTATGACCAAAAGACTTGCACGGGGGGTACGCTTCTACTTTTTTCCCCTCAACCCTTCTTCCCAGAGGCCTGATACATACAGACAGACAAAAAAAGAGGGAGAAAGAGAAAAAGAAGTCAGAATTAATGGAGTGTGAATAATACCAAAAATACGTACTAATTTTTGTGCCAAAATGAATGTTCTTGCCATTTATGTGAAATAACGAACAAGAGCACCAAAAGATTGGTTGGGCTAATCTACTTCCGTAGAGAATGAATTCGCTGGACTAAACACCTTATTAAAAACTGGATGCAAATAGTATTTAAGACTCAAGGGTGTCTTCTAGGCAGCTTCTGCACGGCCGTTAAGACATGCTGTGGTGTTACGGCCCAAGATGGCCACCCCTTACTGTAAATGTCCACTGATTTGCCAGAGGGCACTATTTCTCAGGAAAAAAAAACATTCCTAGGGATGACAAACCAATTTCACCTGCATACCAGTACATTGATAAAATTCACCATAAATGCATGGGAAATTGACCCTCCCGTCAACCAGGACTCATCAACAGGACTATAAAGTGTGTGCCGACGTTCCTTCATCTACATGTTCATAATGACTTTCTAAAAACCTCTGGTAATGCTTCAACAAAAGCTTAAAGGTACACACATGCATATACGGACATAGCCCAGAGGCACTATGTGCCAGAGGGGAATAAAGTAGGGGAATTTCTCTGACAAGAAAAAGATGCACTGGTGGTGAAACTCATCTTATTTACCATTTCTGGGAGGTGACATGACAAGCAGAAGGGGATAAACTTCAGATTTCACAAGTGAATCAAAAAGGGGACAATGAGTTTGAAAGAATCAAAATCTAAGAGTATAAAGGTCATATTTTTCAATCTCCTCTATTTTTCAGAAAAAGAATGCCAGGGTTGAGAGAGGTGGTGCATTTATCTCTGGTAAAACTTCAGTGTAGCAGCAAAACTAAAAATTAGAATCCTGGCCTCCCAAATTCCGTGACGGCCTATGGGCGTCTGGGTCATTCCTGGCGTGGCCGATCCTGACAGAGAGACAGGGTTCTGAGGTGTGCCAGGAGCACATCCCCCTGCAGAGAGCCCAGGGTGGTGGAGCAGGTCCTCTTCTCATTTCCGGGGGCCTATTACCCTTCTTCCACCCACAGACACACATCCCCCCCGCCCCACAAGATTTGAGGAATGAAAAACATTATCTTACCAGCTATTTGGGGGAAAAAACCCCAAAACTCTTGTTTGACCTGCTTCCTTAGAAGCCAGCCCTGCCAAGCTCAAGAGTCTGCTGTAAGGCACACCAGAGTGACTTCACTGGAGCTGTTTCTTTCCCAGCCTGGACACCATTCCCAGTGCTTCCCCTCGCTGACAAGGCGCCCTGTGCACACAGCTTGTGCCGTTCATCTAGGGTTGGAGGTGGTTTCCTGTTTCTCCTGTTAGCCTTCAGATTAATAACTAGCTTGGTTATGATTGTTGAAAAAGTTCATTTCTTTTCTGACAAATCAAAGCAAGAGTCTATCCCTCCGCTTCCCTGAGGATGTCTTCTGTGTGCACATGCGCATGTATTTTTCTATCATCTAAAACAAGTCCCTTGAGCCTAGACTGCTTCCCTTCCCTCTTGGTTCAGTGTCCACTGTTCAAAGCCATGTGGCAAAGTTCATGAAAGAACTGGTGGCCTTGGAAGTTTTCTTGCAGCTCACAGCTTCCCAATGGATCACAATAAAGACCTCATACTTTTCTGTCCTCTGACTTCTAATCAGTTCATTAGTGAGAAATCCCCAGAAAATGGAAGTTAGTTTATATTTTCTGATTTGCATAGAACATTTGCCAGTCTCCAGGAGACAGTTTAAACCAGGACGTTCAAGTGAGAGCAGCTGATACTAACTCCTTCCCAGCCTGCTGCTTCCCCAACCAAAGCTGAAATCATCCGGGCTGGGCTGGGCTGGGGCTGGGCTGGGGCTGGGGCTGACGCTGACAGCCTGTGGCCACCGGCTCCCGGCCCCTGAAAGAACATCCCACGCTCACATTCCTTTTGCATAGAGTGCTTGCTGCAGGTGGGTCCCAACTCCTCAGTGGATGCACTACATGGAAAGCATGCTTTTAATTTAATGGTAAAAGCAAGGAGTAATAGGTACTCCAATAAAACCTAACAACTTAGAACCAGAGGAAATAGCAATGAAGAACATGTGAGAGCTGAGAACAGACACTGCTCTCCATCAGAGAAGAGAGAGTAAAACGGGGCAGGGGGAGTGGCCACGGCAGGGTGCTCACGTTGCTGAGAACAGACTGTCCAAAGTCAACCCCACCGGACACTAGAGGATCTTTAAAACTAGCAGTAAACAAGTAAGCAAGTGTGTACCCTGCACATGCAAAGCCCACCCTGCTCTCAGGCCCCTTCCCTCTCGTGCACACTTACCTGCAATTCCTTGCAACAGCCCGCAGACATTGAAAATACTTTTCTTCATGATGCTCTGTACACACATGGTGAAGACAGACACCAGGGCCACGATGCAGAGAATGAAGATGCCGAAGGCTAAGAAGATCGCAGTGGCCTGCCAGAAGCCACTGGCAATCTCACTGAAGTTCTCAGCGTAGGGCCCGCACAGCGTCTCCTGCGGGACATGCAGCACCCCAGGGTTGCGGATGCAGCGGTTGTAGATGCCCAGAGTGGGGTGATAGGGCTCCGAGGGGCCGCTCGGCTCATTGGGCTCAGCGGGCTCAGCGCTGCCGCGGGTCTTAGCTTTTCCAATCAGCCAGTCTGCGCTCATGAAGGCAATGAGCTCTGCAAAAGCCACCACAATACTCAGGAGGGTCCAGAGCATCGAGCGACAGGTGACAATGACATGACACATATTGATGTTCAAGGAGGAAAAAGTCAGGAGTCCACGGGTTAATAATAAAAGTCGGTGGGGAAGGGAAGGCTCAGGACTTCTCAGAAGGCAGTCGCTGCTGGTGGGCGGGCACTCCCACAGCCGGATGCTCCTTTCTCCCTGCCTCTGGGGGCGCCGTCCCGGACTGTCATGCTGCCATTTCGCAGCTCCGGAGCGTGGCCTCCAGCCTCACCTACCGGAGAAAAGAGAGGTCACGGTCAGCAGCGCCAGGCCCCGCCCCTGCAGCACCGCGGCGCGCGGGCAAACTCGCTGGTCTCAAACCCAAGTGTGAACACGGGCAGCTCGGTGGCCCTGCGCGGCTGACCCGCCCTGCGCAGCTGCCCTCGGCCCGCCTTCCACTGCCACACCCGACCCTTCCCGCCCAGGCTGCCCGCAGGTCCCCACAGGACCTTGCTGGAGCAGATCTGGTCCCCAGCCAGCAACCCGGCCCTTCTCAGCGCATTTGCTGGTCTCCTTTGTTTTCAGGCCTCCCTTTCCATACTCTTAGAAATGATTGGCGTTTATCCTTATCTCTAGGCGTGACAGAGCGCCCCCCGCCCCGCACCCACTCCAGGGGCACCCTGCAGTACAGGGGCTCCAGCTCGATCACCTTTTCAGGGTAAGTCAAACAGCACAGGAATCCAGACAGATCTAGATATAAATGGCAGTGAACCATCAACAGACTGGATACGCTTTTTAAAGTTTACAGGGCTTTTTGCCGGCTGTTTTGAAAAAACTTGCACTGAAAGTTTTTGCTTAACAGTAGAGAGCAGCAACACCTAATTTTATTGCCTGGGAATCAGGTTACTAGCACAGACGTAAGAGTATTTGCTTCATAGGTAAATCAGAATATAAAAAGAAACAATGCCATAAAAAACAGTAACACGTTGCTACCCAGACTTATTTTTCATCCATTTCCCAGAGGGTCATTTTTAGATGAAATAAACTGCATTAACTGAAATGCAAGAAGGAAAGAAAAAACTCAAGAGTTTATAACTTAGTCACTTGGGAAAATTATTCATAAATGACCGTTGACTAAGTATCTTTACCACTGAGTGGACTTGTTGACAACAGAAACTTGCCTGTAAAGAATGAAGTGTCCCAATTCATCACATGTGCCTCTGCCCGAGCCTCCAGTCACCCCAGGTCTGGAACTCAACATGCCCATTGTTTCTGATCTCACAAGGACTCATTCTGTTCCCAGGGACAAATGGCTTCATTACCAGAGGGCTTTGCTCTAACAGCTCAAACCTCCTTCAGAGGGGCCTGAACCCTGAAGCGGGCCACAGTGCTCATCGGCCGCCCCGTTTGCTGCCCTCTCTCCAAGGTCAGGAAGAGCTGCACAGCTTACATCTGACTTCTGGGCACATGGCTCTGTTCTAAATGATGAGACCTCATAACCCAGGTCACGTCAGCTGCAGAAGAATTACAAGAACCTGTGGCAGTCGGCAGCAGGGTGGGGCAGGGAGTTAGGGAAGATGGGGAAAGCAGGGAAATAAAGCCCAGGGTCAGTTTCTACACCATGTTGGCTGACATCCACTGCAAGGTCACTGCTTATCTCATACGACACAACACACTTAAAAGTCCTCATACCACTGGAGTTATACAAGATGCTGTTTGGGGAAGAGGTGGTATGTTCAACTGCAAGAGTTTGGAAGCTTCCAGGTCTGGGTTCCAAATCCAGTTGCACCACTGCCTGGCCATGCGATGTCGAACGTCTCAGAGCTCAGCTTCCTCAGCTTTCAGCTTCCTCATCTACCAGATGCGGATAGTAAGGGTACCCTGCCTCACAGTATTGTGAGGAGTAAACAAGAACCTGTTACAGCACCCTGTTCAGTGTGGGACATAGTAAATGCTCAATGAACGCCAGCTCTTTTTCCTGGGGAGCTTTTCCCCTAACATGGATGACACTGGTCAGAAAGCAGTTTAACCTCTGGAGTTGCTCAGCAGATAACAGAAACTTGGCCATTATACTCAGGAAGCATTAAGCACAGGCTATTCAGAGATGAAGAGGTCGCTCCTAACTAAGCTTCCCTGGTGGGCTTTCAGGGTGGGGTCCTGGTCTGACTTCCTGTTTCCCCACTCCCTGATCCAGCTGCCAAATTCAACTGTGGAAAATGAGTTAGCATTAGGTCAGCAGTATAATCTACTCCTACTCACTCATTCTCAAACCCCCTTCCCCAAATATCATCATACAGAAATGCCTTTTGAAGAAAAACTTACCAATACAAATGAGTTCTGGAGGAGGTTGTTTATAATGAAAATGGCCATTTTGAATAAGAACAAGAAAACAAGTCAAGAAGCCTCCCTGGAGTCCCCAACAAGCAGCCACCCATCATTCGAGCTGACAGGAGGAGAGCCTGGCCTGTCAGGAGAAAATGGGGCTTCTACAAAGTCTTCCAATTTGATCGGAAAAACCAATTTACTGTTCTGCCCATCCAATCTCCATCCCTGCTCCTCTTCTGTTTAATGGCAATTTTTCAATGTGAATATAAAACCTCTACATATTTGTCCTCCTGCAGAACCTCAGGACTCAGCAATGGCCTCTCAGGTGACTTGGATGTTAATGAATATGCCAAGTGTCCACTGTTCTGGTCAGCAAGTTCTGCTCAGAGCCCGGAATGCAATTAGGTTGCAACTGCTGAAGAAATAGGATGTGAAACTTGAGAAGAGAAGAGGACACATACAGCCTTAGCAAAATGGTCTATGCCAGATCTAAGGCAGGCTTATTTAGGGACTCACGTGCTTAAGTTTAAATATACAGTTCACCGACCATATGTGCTAAAACAATCCCCCATCCATTGCACCAAATTCTTATGTTGATGCCACAGTGGCTAGATGAGGCCTTCATTCTTCTTTGTTGGGTCTCCCCAGCTAGTTTGTTAATTACTACCCTAAGAGAAATAGCCAGGATTACACAAGGCTGTCTGACAAAAACTGAGCATCCAAAAAAAGTCCTGAAGTTGGAAAAACAAGGGAAAACCTGGGAACAGCCCAGTAAAGGGCTCTGGAGTGGTCTGCATTCTGTCAAGTGCCCCAGTTTAGCCATGTCCCCTGTGCAAGGAGGGGTGCCTGCTGAGGCAGCATCCGTATCAAAGGGAAATCGATCCTTGTTATGGATCTTGTTAACCACAGGGATTAAGGCACAGAGTCCCTTAGTACAGAATCCACTGCTCTTCAATATAATTCCTGCTTCTGCAAAGCTCACTTAATAAAACGAGGCCCTCACTGACATTCCATATAAAGGTCTCCTGCCCACAGGCCACTAATACATTTTCCCTCCTGGACACCTGACTTATTACCACATCCCTGGTGGTGGGACAGTGAGGACAGCCCTCTGACTTTCAGAAAATGATGCTATGATTGGTTTAACAATCTGCCAAGTAAAGCCTCTCAGCAAGTAATAAGAAAAAACCCAAACAAACAAGAACTCTGCAGAAACTTACTCGTTTCTGACAGTAATACTACAGTCAGAAAACAGAATGGAGGAGGTGATAAATGGTTGGTCTGTGGGGTCGATTATATAAGTGTTCGCCACAGAGCCCTAATACTTCAAGAAGGGTGAAGGTGTTGCACAGAGCTGGGCAGTTTAGTGATGTCCATCACGGGATCGCCTCTTTGGCAGCTTCCTGCTGTCAGTGAGCAGGGAAGAAAGTGCATGTAAGGAGAGCCACCCAGCGCCAGCTGCCTAGGAGACTCTCTAACAGGAGCCCGGGAGTCAAGCTCACATCCACCTAGAAAGGCGGAGGCAAAACTGACCCACGCTTCAATCAGCGTTACGTCAGAAGCCTACCCTGCCCACCGTTGCACCAGCAGCAAAGCCATGAATGAGGCCGTGACAGACAGTGCTGAAGACCACTACCTTAGTATTCTCCGGGGTTGTTTTTCAACTTGATTATGAAATTTTGCAAACAAAGATATTAAGTGGAAAAAGAATAGACAATGAACACCCAGACCGAACACATGTGAGCATTTCGCCAGATTTGTTCTATCACTCTATGGTATGTACACTCACACTAATACACAGACCTATTTCTTTCTGGACAGTTTGAAAATGAGACGCAGATGCCTTGACACTTCTAAATACTTTAGCATACACTTCCTAAAAATAAGGACATTTTCCTATATAACCACAATAAAATTAATGCACCCTAGAAAACTGACAATAATTTCCTTATAGTCAAAGCCTGGGATACACTCAAAGTCAGGAGACCTTTAAGCTAATTTCTTAAAAACATGACTCAATCAAGGCTCATGCATTGCAATTGGTTATGTGTCTTTAGTTTCTTTTAGTCAAAAATAGTCCTTCCAACCCTAATTTATCCCTCCCTGCCTGCATTTTTCCTCTTGACATTGACTTTTTTTTAAGCTGAGTTGAGTTTTCTTAACCCAACAATCTGGGTTTGTCTATTTCCTCATGAGACCATTTAAAATTGTTCCCTCTCCTGCTTTATAAAAACTGGAGATTAAATCTAAAGGCTGTTTCACATTCAGCTTAAATATTTTGGGGAGAATCCTTGGTAGGTGGTGCTGTGTGGTTTCTATTGCATCATATTTGGGAGGAATATGACTGGGGCTATGCTGCAGAATCACAATAATTGTACGCATTCACAAGTCTATCCTATCTATCCAGAAACAACATGCACAGGGTCCTCACTGGTCCTAAAGAATCCAAATTACTGTGAGGAAGTGATTAGGAGGCTGGGCTGGGCAGGGCTCGGTTTTATGAAGGGCTCCTTGGGTCGGTTCTGATGCCACAGTTGAGAAGCTCTGTTCTGAGAGATGCTATCCCAGAGGTTTTATAAGGGAGTCCTTAACCAAAGGAAGTTTACTTCCAAGAAAGGTGTGCTGTGTTTCTTTGCTATGGAACCACATTTTACACAGGCCTTATAAAAACACAGAAAGACCTGCATACCTAGGAAGGGGGCTACACCTCAAAAGAAGCAGTCCTCCCAAGGAGGATATTCGTGAACCAGGAGAGCGTGGTTTATTGTGATGGGAGAGGATTTGTGTGACAAGAAGGAAAGGCCGTCCTTTCTCAAACTTCAGAACCTTCCTTTTAAAAAGGGCCGGCCTGGGCTGCTGACGCTTCTCTCCAGTCCTGCCCTCTGCCCACCCCTCAGCCAGCGTGGAGGGGGCAGTCGGCACTGGGCCATGCCATGTTGGAAAAAGGGCACTACCCACTGCGAGCTGGGGCAGCTGTGTT